AAGTCGAAATTGATTGAAACAAGTCACGCAAGCTTTAAGAGTAAACAGAGGTACTTAGATATAAGTAAATAATGCGAGTGGATGCTGTCGTTAGTTATACGTCGTTGTATATTTAATACCAGATCATTATAAGTACAAGTGGCCCGAAGCAGTATCAACACCCCATGTTGGTGCAACACGCATGATACGTGCACATTAAACAAGTAACATTTCTTTACTTTCATTTGCTATAACTTATGGTCCAACAAGGGACATTTAGCATCCAACGAGTACATATATAAACCTACGTCTAGTCAAATCACCGATACACTATACTATGTTTATAATTATACTATACACGATCTCTGCATAAGATCAGCAAGATATTCGTTTGATGAAGCTCCGCCATTTGTTTGATAAATGAATAATCGCCACAAATGAATCGAAAATAAAAAAGCACATGACTATAGTGTGCGAACTTTATACTAGAGTTATAAATAAAAAATGCCGCGTTGTTTAAATACACTTACTCGGTACCCAAGTGCGGTACAGTCACCACTTAAAATTTATTGCAATATTAATAATATTAAAGTGACATTTATTGTTCGCTAGCTATCGTCTACACATAATGAAATAAGGATATATTAAATATATTTTGCCATTAAATAAAATTATAAACTGTAAAAAAAGTGATCTACTGTATTTAAAAGATCACACGTAGAGACGTGTGATCTTTTAAATAGGCGTTGTAAGGACGTGTAACATCGAAGCCCGAGATGAAAACTACTATTAGGAAAGTTAAGGGAGCCTATAATTCATCCTAATCACCAGTGATGCGCAGTCCTAGCTAAAGAGTAAAGCTTGGCTATGATGTAGGTGCGTTTAATGAAACGGGCACGGAGTGGCGGCGGGCGGCGGCAGGCGGGCGTGCCCGCGGCGCTGGTCTCCTCCGAGTGTACACGAATGCGTCTGTCGCGTGGTTACGTGCTATTAAGTGTGTCGGCCGCTCGCTACTAGTCGACGGACTACTATAAATTACACGAATTATACAGTGTGGCGGCGTACGCGAGCATGTGATATATTGTGGTATGGCGATCGCGCCGAACAGCCTCCGTGTCAGCGCACGTGAAATTACACACCCGACCGCGATGTTTGCGCGCAACACCGCTAATACCCCGCGCACGCGCATCGCATTTTATTTGCGATTGTTATTTCGTAAATGATAGGCCTACGCGCGCCTAGAGAAGTTATTGCCGCTGACCCCAAGTTATTTGCGCAGAGAAAGACTCGGACAACGTTTGTTTTGATGACAATCAGAATCTGTCTGTGTCGCGCGACGTGGTATTATCATTTGTATTGCATGTAAGTGCGGCTAAAACTCCGATGTAACTTTAGCTGACTGTGTAATTTATTGAATAACGCATTAAATAACTATTTACACGAGCCCGCTTGTACATACCTTGGTGGAATCGATGTAGGTATATTATTTTAATATCGCTTTTCTGATGCTGATCATAATTAATTCGTGAAACCGATGCGGTTATTAAAAATGTAAATAAATTTGCAAAATGACAGCGTAATTACGGCAGAGGCCTATTTAAAATGTCTTGTATCGGCAAAAGTGCGAGTGTACCGAGTTACTTCCAATCAAAGTGGTAGGCCGCTCTTTCTCAATCCATTAAGTCAAAGGCTTTATAATCCAATTAAATTACTTATATTGATCAAGATAAATTTTACATTATTGTCTTAATTACAAGTTGTATGTCATCTTTGACAGCACCTCGCCAAATTTAGACGGTCATCGTAAAATATTGCGCGCCAGTTATGGGTAAAGAAAATAAATCCAGTGCATTTAACGCATCGCTACTGAAGATATAAAATTACAAAACGATTACTTCAACAATGTGTGAGTATGGAACGGCGGATGGTCAGACAAATCTTTTAAACGTCGACGAGAACTAAAAATTTATTTCCAAATTCCCACGATTGATTTCAATTACGTTATTTTCAATTAATAAGTAACAGACACGACTACTGTGATTTTATACATCTTCATCGGTTTCTTTGCTCGTAAAATCGGGCGTCGATGTTATCGGACGTTACTGAAGACGCGAGTAATTAACAGGTAGATAATAAGGTTCGCGGGGAGAAGTTTATTATATTTTTAATTAATAGCATAATTTGTGTGAGTTTAGGTGTGAACATTGTACTGTCTCCCGTGTTACTTTATGTAATTGGCTCTTAGCTACCGTATCAATAAATGTTAATGGCGTATTCGAGAAAGTTCTACGATACTTTAATTTTGTGGCATCTCCCGACGTATCTAAGTGTCATTTGGTTACCGACCAATTACTAACGAATATTTATTTCCTGTAACACCAACTATTTAGGTTCAAATTACTCCTTTTACTTCAGAAAAGTAATTAAGTAAAATATAATTAAATATTATATTTTTAAAAACTCTTGATTTTTGCATAGTTATTTATACGCATGCATTATGCACATCATCAGGCTTTTTTTACATATTTGAAACATCATGTGGCAAATTAAATAAAGAGCTAGACATTCTTATTAGAACTACCACTACGCCATCTATACAACAAACTTGGAGTGTAAGGGTTGTAGTACTACCCTTAAAACCCACCCTTCCTATTCGTGCCGATCTAACGCCATCTGCTAACGTAACATAGAAAAGTTTGGACGAGAATCGATATTAGTTTCTTTCGTACAAGGGTAGGATAGATGTCGCAATTGTGCTTGTTAAGGGGTAGTTTACTAAAATCTTTCTGATAAATTTATTAAAGCTTGTGAGTATTGAATTACTTTGTATGGAATGTAAAATTTATGAAATAAGTTAATATTTTTTCTGTTTTATGTTTAAACTACACAATTTATCTAAATAATACCAAATTTAATTGAGATCCGAGAGAGAGTAGCTTATACGTGATGAACAAATCCATTTTTTCCAAATTTTAGATTTTACTTATAATGTCAGTTGGATTACACGTTATGTCACATTTAATGTACACAGTTGGCATAGCTTGTTAAAATACCAACAATTATTTAAGAAAATTAGTAGCTTCCGTAAGTTTTAGGTCGTCTTATATTTTTTTTTTCTTAAACTTAAAATTAAAGCGGTTTTTTATTAATTTATTTAGCAATCAATAAATGTTTTATAGGCTCATTGGAAAACTGAGAGAATATTGAGAATCGTCTTTTATTTTTAAACTATAAAATATGTTTAAGTTAATTGACTTTACTATTCGATTTTAATTAATTTTAATATTATTAAATATTTTATGTCGTAATAAATTATGTCATATGATATGGATTTTTAAACTTACACATGGTACAACTTTTAATTTATTATTTATATTATGTCGTTGTTTTTTGAATCCACAACACATTTCTGATTTATGTTCTAAAAGATGAATGAATTATGTTTCCTTGTTCCTTAAATTTCCATAAGGAAAATCACAGTGACAACCGGAAAAAAGTACACTGGTTCAAAACTGATTTTGATTATCGAAACTGGCATCCACCCAGGTAGAGTACATATCTATCTACAAATCTGCACACCAATTCCAATTTCAACCAAATCGGTCCAGCCGTTTAAGAAATAAAAACAAACAAAAAAATCGTTTATTCTTACAAACTTTTACATTTATAATATTACTTAGGGCTGGTTTTTCAATGGTTAGATTAAAGATATCTTAGGAATAATTATGATGCTGTCGCGTCAGAAAATTTGTATAAGACAGTGACAGCAACTATTTTATTCCTCAGATAACATTTATCTGACTATTGAAAAATCAGCCCAAGTAGCAGAATATTTTTTTACATAATTTCGATATTGTAAAAACTTAAATTGTAAAGATTTGTTTATGACAAAGAATTGATTTCTATAATAGGGTGTCGCCACAACGTACAGGTGAAGTAGGAACTGCCGGGCAGTGTCGCACGCCGCCACACCTGCCGCCTGCAGCAACAACCTGCCTCCCTCAAGATCAGTTCACACGCTAATGACAGATTTTACGAGCATCTCTTATTAAATTCGAATGGCAATATTAACATATTATTACAAAAATCAGACTAGTAGATTACTACAATGTAACTTTTACATACCATCAAAATATTAAAACATATACTGTATGATAAAACCGAGATTATAGTTCATTGTTGTTACAGGGAATGCAACCTGACAGCTGTACCAAATGCCGGCAAAATGCTTTACAGAGTAGACCAGTGAAGATAATTTTTACAACATTATTTAGTATTCTAATCTATCTCCCTGCCGACTAAGAACATAAAAGCGGCTTGTAAACTATAAATATCAAAGATCTAACATTATAATGAGAGTAAGCCATCAAATAAAGTGCCATTGGCGACTCACTGGGCTAGGTTACGCATGACCGTCATCAGTGCACCTGCCCACGCACCGCTCGGATAAACCAAACGACTTGTGCATAAAAACGTCATTTTTGAGAAAACAACTCAAAGTGCCGCAATACAGTAATGTAGCAGTGCTACGCCGTAGAGTTACGTAGTAGTCACAAAGTTACTAACTAATGCAATGATAGATGTGGCTTATACCATTTTTCTTATGCGAGTTGCAAACATTGTATGAAGTTATCGAAAAAGTTTACAAGGCCAAATAAATAAAACAAAAACTTTCGAACAATATTAATAACGCAATATCGTCTCGGATCAGTTTACAGCGTCTATTCTCCATAACGACTTCTAAATAGAAGACGCGAACAGAGCCCGTCTTCCGAACATGGTAATGGACGGGATAATTACGCGCAACGACGTGCAACAATAGCGGCGCGAGCTTACCGCTCTATGGCATAATAAGCGCCGGCGTATTTTGATCAGCGCAACAAGTAGCGTGCGGGCGGTGGGGCGCGTGCCGCGCGCGCGCCGGCCCCGCTACCCGCGCACGGGCCCCCGCCCGCCGCCCGCCGGCGCGCGCGCTACTTAGCGTCGGGGGTGCGCGCCACCTCCGCCAATTCACCGGCAACCTCCGCGCGGCACAGACAAGTGCGCTCTCGATACACACTCCTAGTTCACTCGTACAATCGCGATGCCGATGGCGGCTATTCACACGTACCAAAACCTTGGCGTCGATCAGAAATTGACGCACCTACAATCTCAGGCTCCCCGGAGATTAGCACCTGCTCCAGTGGATCCTAGTCGCTGCAAGAAAAAATCTTATCTTCACCAGCCTTATCCGGCACAACCTGCCTCCGTAGCACGCAGGAACGCTCGAGAGAGGAACAGAGTGAAACAAGTAAATAATGGTTTTGCGGCATTACGTCAGCACATCCCGTCAGCTGTCTCTGCAGCCCTAGCTGGAGGAAGAGGATCTTCACGGAAACTAAGTAAAGTGGATACTTTAAGACTAGCGGTAGAGTACATCAAAAGTTTGAAGCGGTTATTAGAGGAGAGCGAGGAAGGATGCTCCGAGTCTCAGTCGGGATTAGTACTCAGCAGCAGTGGACCGCACACTCCACCACTATCTGAAGAGTCCCACTCGCCAGCTCCCTCCTTTGTGTCTGAAAGTTCAGCGGGGCCGAGCTGTCATGATGCCTACGATTCCTACGAGCCCATGAGTCCTGAAGATGAAGAGCTTCTCGACGTTATATCATGGTGGCAGCAGCAGTGATTGAAGGTGAGTTTATTTACAATCTTGTTGACATTTTCAATAATCGATGGATTTATTTTTATTTGTTAAGTTTTATCATTGACATGAATTTGATATTAAGGGAACTAATATTCTCTATGAGATAACATGGCACGATATTTTATGAATGAATATTTTAAGTGTGTTAACATAACCTTCAAAATTTTGATAATGATGTTCTTATCAATGTATTTGCTTTCGTCCCGCCGTCTGTTAACATTAGGTACAAAGTTATATTTTTTTTATATATGTCATTTTTAAAGCTAGGTAGGCAAGCAAACATTTTAAGCTTATCATCGTTTTAAGTCGAAATTGTTTTTTATAATATTTAATCACGCTAGCAAACTTCGCATAGTCAGGTAGTTACCGTTTAGTGTATTTTTATGCCGACCTTTTTAGTCACGGTTGCCTTAGGGACCGAATCTTTTATATTGCACAATCTGAATAGAGATTCACCTTCATCCGAAGCAAAAAGTAAACACATCAACCATTATGACTGAGCATTGAACCATAAGATAGACTTTATCTTTTCATAGTAGAATTAGGATGACACAATGGCGGATCTCCAACAATAGCGAATGTTAAAATATGTCGCTTTGTAAAAGCTCGCAGCTAGGTAATATTTTTTTACGATCCAAGGCAGAATTTTCTATTTCAAGTTATAGATTGTAGGGACCCGCATTCCACCTTCTTATTTGCTTCAATAGCCAAACAGCAATTACTTCTAACAATCTTGTGGTTTGCCCCGCATGTAGTGAGAAAATTGCACATAAAACTGATCTATTCTAATAATAAGTAGCCATAACAGATGACTCCGATTCCCAAGTGGAAACATGTTTTGTTTTTCACTGATATCTCTCAAGTTAATGCGTTTCGTCCGGTCAGTGAGAGTTTTGGCCAAAAAGTCACCATATGGTCCGTCCTGATAGATTAAGTAGAACCGGTAGCGCCGCGTCTAAAAACACGATATTAAAACTGGCAAAAAATGTTTTGAGACGCTTCGTCGGCTATTAATTTATTGTACCGGAAGACGAAATCTCAAGAGGAAATAGAAGGGCGGTGAGCGACGCACACGTGTTACAATATTTGCTAAGCTCTATGCAAACATATGGCGATATCGTGCACTGTTCATGGGAATAGTATAGCGTCACGCACCTCAACAACTAGTATTCAACACACAGATTGACTGTTATTGTCGAAACACTGACGCAAATATCTACGATTTATATTTTTATAACAAACATTTCAAATATGTTTTTCCTTTTTCCCAGGAACCGTACTCTGCGGTGATCAAAGTGCGGCCAATCAGCGGCTTGGTGATTATGAAAAAACGAGTAATCCTCAAGAAGGAGCCGAGCATCGGAGCGCGAGGGCTCCGAGAGAACCTCTAATTAAGCGCAATCAGTATATTCCTAATGAGAGGGGATAATGGTGGACTGTAACGACCCCATCGATGCATTCCTCCGAGTGACTGGACACCAAACGAATACCCCACTGCATTTCCCACATCGATGGAATAGCACTAAGAAGACTGAATCGATCATTTACTTGTTCCACTTAAGCATTTAGTTATATTGTAGGTGACTCGACATTACGCTGTGCCTTAGTGTAGCCTTACGGATTACTACTTCCACTTAGAATGTAATCTTTACAATAATCTTGTTATTGTTTGTTATCTAGTCATTTATATTTAAGTTTAGTATATGTTCAGATTTTGAACGCGTCTGTGTACCTTGTCTGTACTATAGATCGTTCAATTTGTCAAATACATATTATGTATAATTTTTGAAAATCTTGAGACAAAGACTTGTAATGTAAATAGATAAGGTAGCACCCTAAGACAGATTCCTAATATTATAAGATTTTTATGAATTAGTTATATAAAAAATACCAGTATTCAACCGTTTGGTTGTGTCTGTAATTAAATACATTTTTTTTATAAATTCTATTTTTGATTTTCATGAACCCCTTAGTAGGTATTACAACCTTTACTATGATCTCCAAACCCTGATACTTAAATTGAGAAAGGAGGTGCATAATCATTTGTATCAAGAAGGCATGATGCAAAAATAAAATCAAAATTGCAGTCATAAATCTACGCATACCTGCCGACTAATTTATACGATAAAATATGCCTACTTTAAGCATATGTAGATAGGGGCTAATAAGCGTAAATGAACAAACGTGATTTATTCACTGTACTTTACAGCCTCACTTAGACACAGTACCCTATAAAGTCTAAAAGATAGACGCTAATTTGAATGCGTACCACTAAAATGTTTTAGAACTCTCTGGAACATTTTGATAATAACAATGACCGATTATTATTATTACTTACAGAGAGAAAAAAACATTGTGAAGATGTTTCGTTAAAATATAATCTGAATTATCAAAATTTTCAAATATGTTATGTTGGAATAACGGGATCTTACAAGGGTCTGCAAAGAATTACGCTCTAGCCGCAAAGTCTATACACAAATAGCTACTGGCTAGTAACACTGGTATCCCATCGACTACAATCACCAGAAAAACCAGTTTCTCTTAACTCAGAATTACTCAGAACGATAACCAGCTGATACATTCTGTGTTTTCTTATTATCATCACCGTACAGAAGTTAATCTAAAATTCACACCAACATAATTCATCTTTCTTTACCTGTACGCCGTAGCTCTACATAGAACAAACAAGCTAGTTTTCGATTACTTTACCATAAATTATCACCCACTCTATCGACATCAATACCCAGCATTGCTTGTCCTTGAAATAAAAAACAAGCAACATTATCTACGTAGGTTTGAATATACAAAACACAGAACTCAAGACGTTGCAAAATTAAAATAACAAAAGGTGCTTTTTCCACACGTGCCTCAACTCAGGTTACATTTTGCAAAAGAAAATAATAACATATGTACTCGAAATGCACGAAATGGGGGGCCTAAGCTTACCCTGATGCATTTAATTTAAAAAAGACAATTCATACTGCAACTGGATCACGTCGCCGAAAACGCCCATCGAAATCAAATTGCAATAGTAATTTTTGATAATGGAAGGGAAGCACGGGCCATTATGGGTGGATATTTCCGTCGGAGGATATTAATTGTTTGAACTTGTTCAAGTTCTATACAAGACGAGATCTGCTAGATATGACAGGAACTTGACGAACACACCTGTGGATTTGCGAATTGCTTTGTCGTTCAGTCTAGTTAATTTTCTTAAGTATTAATTGTTGGTTATTATGCGCTGGCGCATCCGTTTGCAACAAACTTGTTTCTCATTATCTTGTCTGTCTTGTTGCATACCTAGTGTCTACATTCGTTTATATAGCGATTATCACAATCTCACAAAAAAGGTATGTTAATTTTAATTGATTGCTAACCATTAATTAATTCGAGCAGTATTTTTCATATGAAGGGGATTTTATTCAGCAAAACCAGACATTTGTATTCACGATTATGTTTAAGTTATGTACATGTATTTTAACTTAAACATGTAATCAGGCAAACTTTTAAAAAGTTACTGTTCTTTAAAGTAGCGAGTCGGCGAAGCATCAAAGCACTACGCTTACTCCGCCGTCGCCCAAAGTTTGGCGTCTGGGTTCGGCGCGCGGCGACGTAGTCTCGTGCGCTCTCGGCTCCACTCGTGCGTTTACGAGGCACGCGACCGTCGCGCGCGCAGTCCGAGCAGCTGCCTTTGACTGGCGACCACTTGCCCAGAACAGATTGCTTGGATGTGATGGAAATTATTTTTTATTTTGCCTGATTTTTGTTTTAGTGCTCAGTTTAATAAAGCTGATCTTATGAATCAACATGAATGTTTATTTCAAGAAATATTTTAGGTATATATTTGTCAAAGATACATGCTATTCACAATGCAGTTTATAATTTGACAATTATTACAACTACACAATGAGTACCCTCAGATTATATTTAAAAAAAAAAAAACAATGGAACCGTAAATATTGAAGAAATGTATCTGACTTCAGTTTATTGTCGTCTTTTTATTAAGTTTAGTCTAATTTTATAAAAACAGACAGAAGTTACGTATCAGTTTTATGACAAAAAAAATTGAGAGCAAAGTTGAGAGCCAAGTGGTTTCCAAGGGACCCTTGGCCTTGAAGCGAGTGTAGCGTTGCCGCCAATAAGCGTGTGACCTAAATCCCTTGGCGGCGCGTACGCACAACACGTTGCTATTTTGGAATATCGATCAAGTTCAAGTACTTGTTCGATGGCATATTTTTTGTTCCGTTTCAGTTTTATTTTTCTATTTTTTGTGTTACCTATATGTTTTTATATGACACTGACCCAATGTTGAAAGACATTTTGGTCTGATTTCTTAGTAAAACTATCTACAATTATATGTAAGAATAATAATCATGTAATTTATCTTGCTGAATTATAAGTGAATTATGTTTACATCTGCAAAAACATTAAAAAAGAAAATTATAAACAATACTTTGACCGAACTTTATTTTATTTTAATTTTGAAAACTTTTTCAAGCATGTCGATCTCCTTTGAATTAGTTGAAGCTGAGATACAATAAAAATACTGAATTCCAAACAGGACGCACAAACTGTAATGTCCACAGATAATGTCCTATTCAATGACTATTTAATTAATCAGTCGGCACTGAGGTGCTATAAATTCAGAGTCCGCAATAAACCTCATTAATGGCCTATAATGAATTGGAACTCAGTAGCAGGTAGTTTTATCTAAAATATCTCGCATAGCTCCACCGAAATTCTTACACAAATGACAGTTACTTCACAGGGTGTCATGTCACCGCTCTCTGTGATGCCACCCCTAAACTTTGCATTTAATTGCCACTTCCAAAAATGCGACCTTTGAATTCTTTACGTTCTTTATAACGTACCTCATTTTTTATATCCGACAAAATTAACAATAAATTTTGTTTAGTTTCAAATAATCATATTGCTAGAGTTATACGAATAAAAAGCAGAAGTTCAAACATTAGTCGATGGTTGTTATTATAAATTTATATCTAATAGATCAGCACTTGTTATATAAAAACTTTTACAAATTGTTGGAAGCTATGGAGTCGAAGAGTATAAACATATCTTCGAGAAGAAAAGCTACAAAATAAAATCACATAGAAATAAAAATTCCGTTTGAATATTTAAAATATCGTTTAAAACTGTTTTGTGTTTCGTGATATGGTAAATTTCTGATTTTACGCGTTTGAGAATAACATAAAATTATCATACTCCTTATAGGCATCATTCAGTACCCCATTACAAACCATGCTCGACCACTCGTCTTCAAGTATTCTGTTAGCGCACTAAGTACATCTTGTTAAAATCGTCATATGATTACGGAGGTTGACCAATTATTCCTTGTTTCACGATAAAACTAATTTTGCATTCACAAGTTGTATCAAAAATAGCCACCTACATGTAATATCAAACTCTTCTATAATTTTCTCTGTTCCAACAAGTTATCGGCTTTAGTCAAAGGGCCGTCGTTTCGCGCTATTCAAATAATTAGGGCCGATACAGCCACTTGCATCGATCGAATTAAACCACATAAAATCGCCGTGAGGACTCGACGGCCACAAAAACGTTCAATCATCAGTGATATATAGTCTTCGCAAACGCCGACGATCATTTACACTTGTACCCAATAACGCCATATAAAACTCTAAAATAATGATCATCTGTTATTACTGAATCTCCCCGAATGTAAGATATTTGGTGACGACGATTATGTATTTACCTTACCAATTCTGGTTGATAATTTTGTTGTGATCAAAATGGAAACTTGCATCGAGTTCATCGACCCATCCAGGTGGTATGTGACAGTCAATATTACTTATCAATAAACGGAAGAAATTATTATACTATTGGTGTCAGCCAACACAGAACTGACCTCTCATAATACGTTCTAGATTACGTCTAACATCAACAATGTCCACAATCAATTTAATTTTATCGGCGCGTGTGATCTGGGCAGCTGTCAAAGCATTGATAACTATTTAACGTTTTAAAAATGTTCGATAGCCGAATTTACTTTTCTTTAACTTTCAACCGAGACGCACAACTCACTTTATCATTCAAGTAAACACATGTGAAATACAAGGTGACTAAACTTACGAGAAATGTTAAATTTACATACGCTGTAAGTACGGACACGTTCGCAATTGTCCAGGAAAACATCAGCAAGAGGTAACATGTCATCCAGATCGACTCTAACGAAGGTTTATTCAAAAAACGGTGTTCGCCTCCGGTGGTCCGACGCTGTCAACGCAACCCGTCTACGCGAGACAGGGCTCGTTACGCAACAATACCCACGTGACTTACTTTACAAGGCAATTATTGATCTATCAAACAGTGGCAATTATAGGCCCAATAGTAATTAATAACTATAATTAATCGACTTCAATTCTAATTGACATTTATGAACAGCCGGTACATCAAGCATTGACACCTGAAATTAAATCAACCGGCGGCTATGCTTGTAATTTACTTTTTATAAGCTCTTGTCACGTAAGTATAAAAAAATTGCCTAAAGGTGCTATTTTCCGGAAGACGATTGCAAAACATCAAAGATGCAGCACTTCATTCGTTTCCAAAGCCATAATTGGAGATACTGATCGATGCGCTGTGTCATAGGCTCTTCCACCTGATAACTAACAATCATTAAGTATTTGTAG